AGATTATTAAATTTTACAAACAATTAACAAAAAAGGAATGGTAGTACTGGTCATATCATCTGTTCCCGGACGCGCTGTTGATCGAGAAATGTGATCCACTATGTTCTGGAATGTTGAGCAATGCTGAAACAATTTTATACATCTTTTTATGGGTGAATTGATCCATGATGTAATGTAATTTCGTCTAAGTCAGTCGCATCCAAATTTCTTGAATCTCCTTGTTTCGCTTCCAAAATTCGTCTGCTCTCGCCCCAGCTCTCTTCCCAATCTCGTAACACTTTTATCGTCCACATTACTATGAATTTGGAGGTTGGCTGCATCAGCTTCAACTGTCGAACATTGTTCATTCGTAGAACAATTCTCCTCGCCCAGGTTATCAAAACTGATGTGGAAACGTTCAAAACGCAGTTCAACCTTTCCTTCGAGCAATTGATCTCTGTCAAGCATAAACATTCGTTAAATTTTTACACCAGCAAAATTCAAGGATATCTGCAATTTATGTACACTTTTCATCGTCTGATTTCACCCCATAATTCAATCCTGATCTCGGCGCATTGCGATTCAGCCGAAATGAACACTGATTGTGAGATTCAAATGAGTAAATTTGGTTGCAAATGTCGTTGTTGTGCATTTTGTGCATTTTATTTGTACTTTACGGATGGCATCCATCATCATTTCTTTAATACGTTGTAAATGTTCGACAGCTAAATAAATATTTATTAATTTAATGATTGACGTGGCAATCGATTGTTCATTGAATTGGTTCGATACAGTGGTTTTATTTTAGTTGGAATTCGTATTTGATAGACTCATCATAAATCGTAATCGCGTGATCAAATGCTTACAAAGTATTTTTACGAAAAATGACTTTGTCTGGCACAATCTTCTCAGCAAAATCAACTAAAAAATTTTATTGTCATCTTATGATTTAGACTGATGAAAATTTTTTACTTTTTTGTATTGATTGAGTACCCTCCCATGGCGCCATCTCGTTCGTTCATCAATCCGCTTACGCATGAACACTTAATGGTCCTTAGTTTCTCAAATCGCAGCCATACACCAATGACAACTTGAATATTCTAGATTCATTTCAGAAAATTATACAGTAACCATAAGGACTACCACATAAGCAAATCGCGATCACACCAAAAAATAGATTAATGAATCGGTCGAATGTACGAAACCGATCAGAATCGCCCACTGCAATGTCATGGTTGAAACGCAATCAGCTTTCACACGAAAAATGTTTACACTACAATATGACGAAGTTACATCTCAGATTAAATTATACATTCATTTTGTTGATCATTTACAAAATGTGTTGGACGACTAGAAATTGTTTGAATATTTAATGGTTATTGTTTACGGTTGTTATGTTTATGGTTTGAATGTTTATTTGATGGTTCTTATGGTTCCTGTATAATTCTTAAAATGGATCTAGAACGTTGATATATGGATTCGAGTGTTCAGCGAGTATGGCAGCGATTCCAAAAACTAAGGACCAATAAAAGTTCAAACGTTAAACGATTGATAAACGAAGAAGAGGGCGACATGAAAGGGTACTTAAGAAGATAAAAAGGACATGAAAATTGGAACAAAATAAATCACTAAGATACAACAAAATTTTTGTGAATTTTGTTGAGAAGACTGTGAGAAACGAAATGTTCCATTGTACAAATGATGTTTGAACATCTGATCAATTGACTGTATTTTTAAAATACTGATACCGAAGAGATAGAATTAGAGAATGACAGGAAAGGGGAGAGAGAGAAACATCCGGAATGTATTCATCAGTGTACAATAGCGATTTGTTTTAATCATTAAGCGGACGGATAAGCGAATGAGATGGCGCCATAGAAGTTACTGAAGAAAAAAAAATTCCGTCAAACTAAATCGTTAAGACAACAAAAAAAATTTTATGGGCTCATGATTGTATCAAAGAAGATTGTGGCAAACAAAATTATTTTTCTGTAAAAGTGCGGTGTAAGCATTCGATCACGCGATTATGTTTTATGATGCATCCATCAAAAAGGAATTCCAACAATGAAAAAATCACCGTACCAATTTTATCAACAATCTAATGCTAATCAAGTCATACCATAAAATCTTTCGTCACATTTGCAATCGAATTCACTCCTTTCATTTTTGAATTATAATTCCAGTCAGATGCATTTTGTGATTTACGAGAGTATAATTCTGCATCGGATTTTAAAAGTAAATTGGTTAGCATATGAATACTGAGGAGAACAGTAATCAGAACGGTCATTTCTCAGTGCGGACACAAAATGTTGTTCGTTAAGGTGTGTGCAAGTTGACGAAAACCATTTCCTGACAAATAGATCCTCGAACGAATTGCTTCCCGACGAAATTCTCCGCCCAAAAAGTTGAACAGCTACCCCCCCCCCTCAAACTGTTTTGTCATAGTCGTCTTGTAAACGCCGTTGGGCAACTGGACTGCTCCATAGTCATTGCATTCCTTAAGTTGTGCTTAGAACGCATCAAGATGATAGTATTGTGTCCGCGATAAACAAACAATAAGACTTTTAAGCGAGACAATTGAAAAAAACGGCAAAATTAGTTCGCCTTGTCTTTAACATCAATAACTGTACTAATATTCTAAAACAATGACTTAGCACGTAGCAGGTTTGACCATTATTCACGGCAGTTACTATTGTTACCACTGCGGACACTTTACAGTAATTATGATAACTCGAGGATTGTGTTTATTAATTTATTTATTTATTCGCTTCAAAAGTTCATTAGAATGATAGCGGTATGGCAAATACACTGCCCCAACTAATTTTGGGGAAAGGAGAAAGAAGTAAAACGATCGGTAAAGAGTACAAACAAAATAATGAATAAAAGTGATAAAGGACGTATAATGTGAGGAGAATAAGACTAAGGATTAAAATGAAAAATAAAAAATGAACCATACACTGAATCATACAATCGAAGGATTGCAAAGACTTGTGTTAATTTGTAAAAAATTGTTCATTAGTCCAGTCACCTCAAACTTGGGTAATTGAACCTTACAAGCATTAATGATCAATGAAAACAATACGAGCAACGATATGGTCTGCGTCCAACATCCCGATTAACAGCGCGCCCAAACCCTGTGGCATCGGATCGATTTTCCTACGGTAATTCCGATTTAATTTCACGAACAGTTCTTTATTGTTCTTCGATCACGTAGAATAGATGTTTTGACCAGCACTTTCATTCCTTTTTGTTAATTCTTTGTAAATTTCGATAATCTTAAAGTAAGAGTTT